GTTCGTTCCTCTGCATGCCATCTCATTAACTTGGCCGTCTTGGATGACATTAAACAACCTCTGCAACCTTGGCTTTAAAGGAAAATACCTCATCTGTTTTGCAGCTATTCGTTTGCCACCTTTTTTAGGACCATTTGAACCACCATCACCATTTGATTTCCATCTACAACTGTTGCATATGACACATTTATCAAGATTGGCGTCCTCGTTTCGAAACAACATGCAACTGTTGGGACATGCATCCCACGTCTCATACGTGAAGCCCAAATCTATTGTGACCTTTTGAGCTTTATAATATGAGTCCGGGAGTTTCACACCCAACGGGAACGCCTCATTCAATAACTCAAGCCAACATGTCAACAGACTAGTCTGTCCACTGATTAAGCACCTTCAAATGTAAAAAGTCGAACAATGAATGACAAAGATGTGAACTTCTGACAACCCGGATACAATTCACTTTGTGCATCTTGAAGAAGTTTGAAATACTTTGCAGTCTCTGCATTTGGACCGAGCTGGGGTTCAAATGCATGGGGATCAGGCCCCTGTGGTTCATTACCCTCAACACTTGTACCGGCATGTGGATTTCCCATAGCCCCTTGTATCATTCCAATCATATCATCCCCAATGTCTAAATTAGCTAATGTTTCATTCTCTCGATTACCATGCAGAGATACGTAAGATTCCCCATGATTAATCCAATGTTTGTATTTTTTAAAAAACCATTCAAAATTAGATGCTCCCGTACACCCTTCGTACAAAATAGTATCGATTCTCGTACTTCCTACATGGACAACTGATCATCGAACCTTCAAACCTATTGGTGTAGGCAAACAAAAGGAATTCATCGATCCCATTAATGTATTCGCTCGACAGCCTATTTTGGCAAATCAATCCAACTCTTATCCATCATCTGTACACATCCAACAAAATATCACATCAAAGTAACTCTAAATATAATACCTTTAACTCAAACCTATTCAAAAAAATACTCAAACTCATCTATTTAAGTTTGTCTAAAAAAATACTCAAAACTCATCTATGCTCTTTAACTCAAACCTATTCAAAATTAAATTCTACTCTTTTTTTTTTTATTACCCAAAATCAAGAGATCCTTTTAGCAAACTCAAACCTATACCACACCTTTTTTAAAAAAAAAACTCAGGTAAAATTTTGAATTAGTTACAAAGTGCTTCATAAGAAATGAAATTTTTAGTCAAAGCATAAAATTTTTGAGGTTACTATTTCAATGCTTATATCAAATGAATTTTTCACTCAAAATTTTTGTCTGATCAAAATTTTCATGATTGGTGATGGTTTAATAGAATTTGGGGGGAGGGGAATGAGATTGACATGACGAGGTTGAATTACACTTGCTTTTACTAACCGAGAATAATGAATTTTTCAAGACATTTGAACTCAATTGATTGATAACAGAAAAATAATACATGACTGTGAAACTCTTAACCATTTTTGGGTACCCAAAATTTTTTAATGAATCAAAGGTTTGATTCATTTGCTTTGTATCTTTGTTCCCATCATAATTAATTACATCTAAGGAAAAAAAAAAAAAACTGGTCTAATTTTGTGCCTGAATATCAATACTCTTCTTATATTGAATTTTATTCATAAGTTTCTCCTCAGTCGATACATAGGACAAGCAGTGACACTCTTCAAAGATGGCATAATGTATCAACTAGTTTTATGATGGGATGTTTGAAGTCCCTAGAAATATCACGAATAGTACGATTGGGTAATAAATTCATTTCTTTTTGTTTCAAAAGTGTTATAAATTTAATTGATATTTTGAACCATCTTGAATTTGAGTTGTTGAATATTTCCAGACAATGCTTGATTGGTACCCTCCTCACCGGAGCTGTGAAAGGAAAATTGTTTTGTGTCTAAGTGGTATCATATAATGGTTGAGAAAGCTTAGAGGTCACAAAGAGTCCAAGGAATTGGGTTCATTCTACAAACCCTGCTGAATGCCAGTTGGAATATAGTTTGATGCCATGTACTTCCAGGACAACAGATATTTTTTAAGGATTCAACCATCAATTCTCAAACTTACATACAACTTCTAAGAATCCAATGGCAACATTGCGTCCCACCGAAAACTATTTTTGAATAGTAAACTAGCGCCTTTCATGGCATCCTTCTCTTTCAAATGGTCAAATGGCCTTAACCCAATATTTAAGGATAAGAAGTATATATACTCATTGTATAAAAATTATACTTTTAATGTCCATAATGAATCCAGAATGTGGCACATGTTGTTTCTAGTTATATCAACAATAACAATCTTAAAAAATTATTTGAAAAAAAAAAAAAAAAATAAAAAGTGCACGGACTTGTAGTGTTGGCAACACTATATTTAGTGGAGTTGATTCAAGACATGCTCGAGACCTAGAAAGTCCTCTAAAATTATCCAAAATTTATAATCTAAACACAACCTAAAAAATTAAAATGAAAAAATAATCGAAACTTTTGGGGATACATACATATATAGGCAAATAATTTATAATTCATGTATATTTTTTTTTATTTTTTTTTTTGAACTAGCTAATACATTGACATACATATATATATATATATATATATACAGAGAGAGAGAGAGAGAGAGAGAGCATACCTGAGTAGCTCTCCGGTCGTCGAAGCACCACGCTAGCCCTTCGCCGTTCGTCGTCGCCGCACCACCGCTAGCCCTTCGCCGTTCGTCGCCCGTCGCCCGTCGCTCGTTTGGGGATTTTGGAGGAAAATTGAGCGGCAAGATGAAAGGATTTCGATCGGACAATTTTAGGGATTTCGTGCTTCAAAACAATTTTAGGGATTTCGCGATCGAACTGAGCGGCAAGATGAAAGGGAAGAGGGGGGGAAAATTGTTTTTTACTTTTTGTGATGGGAAGGTTTACACCGTCGCAAATGATACAAAATGATTAATAAACGACGGCGTTTTAATAATCCTTTTTTTGCGACGGACATTTGCCGTCGCAAATGGTCGAGTATTTGCGATAGCAAACTTTTGCCGTCTCAAACATTTTTTTTTTCCCAACGGTTCAACACTTGCCGTCGCTAATAGTTCCTCATTTTAAAACCCGCCCGTGCAGTTTATTACCGATGGTTAAACGCCGTCGCTAAAACTCTTTTTTGCGACGGTTTATTTTGCCGTCGCAAAAAACCGTTTTTTGCGACGAGGATCGCGCCGTCGCAAATACTTCCGTGTTTTTTGCCCTCTTTTCTTGTAATGATAATCCTTTGAGAAAGTATTTTTAAAAAGTCCAATTCATATTTTAATAAAGGATAAAATTAAAATAAAATATATTAAAAAAAATTTTAAGGAAAATTTAACTGTTATTACAAATTAAATTCTAAATTTTTAATTGTTTCATCTTAAACTTTACATTTTCAATATTACATCAAACTCAACCATCCGTTTATTTCCGTACAGGGAGTGTAATGGAGATTTTTTTCTTCAAAAGGGGTCTTTCTCTTATTTGTTATTTCAAATTTATCTAAAATTAAAATTAAAATTAATTTTTACCATGGACCCTACTCTACAGAATTAGCCCTTCCTTTCTTCTCAAACCCTGCACCAAACGACACCCGCTTTCCCCCGCAAGTTGAAGATGGAGATGACTGAAGACAGCGACATCCAAACGATTCAGATGAAAACCGAACTGGATCGTGGGTGTGGATTTCTCAATAATTTAAAATTAACTATTTTTTCATTTTTTACACATACTCTTTATGAATTTTCAATTATCGAGTAATTTCTTTGAATTATTGTACTGCCTACCTGAGAAGTTGAGTTACGCTTAAGATTAATTTTATACTAGTCTATAGGCTCCCTCATTTGAACTTTATCAAACGTGGTTTACGATATGACCAAAGCTGAACCTAGGAATTAATTTGGAATTAGATGTTTGCAAACCAAAGGGGATATCAAAGTTGAGGAAAGAGAAGGTAAATTTGAAGGAGACAAGAGGCACATATTTGAAGGAGATATCAAGAGAAATTTCATGCTGGTCCTGGTTATTTTCAATTCATATTACTTTCACTTGTTTGGAATTTCAGACCTATACTTCAACACTATGTTTGGAAACTTAGTGGAGAAAACAAAAGAAACCATTACTTAAGTTATAAGAAAAGAAAAGAAATAATTGTAATTTCTCTCTTTTTTATTTGAATGAATAAGAAATAAAAGAAAAGAAATGATTATGATTATAATTTCTCTCTTTTTTGTTTGGTTGGATTTTATAAGAAAAAAGAAAAGAAATTATTTTATATTATATTACCAACATAACCTTTTTATATTTTCAATCATTTTATTTCTTTTATTTTTACAGGGACAAAATTGGTATTATAAAAATATTGGTTTCTTTTCTCTCCAAATCTCTCCACTTTTGAGAATATTGAAAATGAGGATCGTAAGAAAAATGAATTTCTCTCTGTTTCTCTCAATTTCTCCCAATTTCTCTCTATTTAAGTTATCCAAACAAGTAAGAGAAATACATATCTCTCCATATCTTTTTTTTTCTCTCCAAATCACTCAATCCAAACATAAAAGTGTTCCCTACTTGTGTCAATTGACAATGGATGGTGAAACACAACTTTTGGTTCTGGCCTGCAGCTTTTGATTTGGAAAATGAAGAAAAACAAAATCAGTCTATCTGAGTTCGAAATCATCTGCTCTCAAATTTCCTGAGGTTGGTGGGATACCTCCTCCTGCAGGGCAGTTTGGAAGAAGATTTGTTTCGGCAGATAGAGGGGTGACATATTTGGAAGAATAGATAAGAGATAAGTACCCTTCTTGGGCAGTGGTGTCATATGTCCCTTTTCTAGGCTTTGCGGTTGATCATTTGAATCTCTTTCTTTTGGTCCTTAAAAACTCTCTTGTTAAAATTAAATTGCAATGTTGAGTAGCCTGTGAATTTGCAGAGATTAATTCAATATCCTTAGGTTTCTGGCCTTAAACCTGATATGCATTTTCTCCCATCTTTTAGTGGAAAAGAGAGCATCAGTTTTACTCATGCGATTGTAGCATTGAGGCTCTTAAAAGGGCTGAAGAAGTGATAGACGCAGCTGACTTAGCCTCAGAAAAGCACAGTTTTCATCTATTCCCTTGTGATTTTTCTATTAGTGGTTTTTTGAAGTGGTGGTCCTATGATCCTTGCAGGGAAGTTATTCTGCAAAAGCAGGACATTTGTCTTTCAGGTTAGTTACTTCATCCATTTCTTTGTACATGTCATAATTTTGTGCGCTATTACCTGGAACTCAGCTAATTTTTTTTCTGCTTTCCCAGATGTTGAAGACAAGAGAGTGGTAGGGTTAAATGATTTTTCTTCTTTGAAGGAATGTAAATGCTGCCTTGGCGGGGGTGGATTTTGTGACCTTGGTATGTTGCTAGTTTTCCAAAAATGGGTCTTAATGCATTGTTGGGCATTTGAAGTTAGAAATTGAGGTGAAGTGGGTCTGTCTACATATCCTCTTAGGTTGTGTTTGGATCTTAGATTTGAAAAGAGATTTATGGAGGGAACGAAAAAATGGGGGGAAATGTGAATGAAGTATAATGTAAATTTTTTTTACTTTTCCGTCTCCTTTTCTTTCCCTTCATGAATCACTTGTCAAATCCAAAATGCGAACACAACCGTAGGAATTTACTTCTTTTTTTTCTTTTAAGAATTATAATGTAATTGGTTGCTGCATAATCGGCATTAGAAGCTGTGGTTGCTTAAATTTTGTGTTTGGGTTTGTGGAGGAAACGGAGAAGTGAAATAAACTTTACTTCTACTTCATTCATTTTTCCCTTCCCGTTCCCGTCCTTCACAAAGCCCTCCACAACTCTAAGATCCAAACATAGCTCAAGTACAAATGTTCAAATTTCTTATGGAACATCAATCTGAATATTTTGACGTTTGATATGAGTTATTGAGTGAATTTCTAGATTATAGTTGAACTACTCATGTGAAATTCTATGTTTAATGTTTGTTCATCACTTTTTAAATTTGACCAATGAGTCTTTATTTACTATTTTTCTGTAATGTTAGTTCTTAGCAAAACTAGGGGTTATGATTTTGTTGCCATGCCTAAATATGCCTGAAAATTTGACAATATTACAATCTAATCATTCAAGAACTAACCAATCCATTGCCTTGGTATATTCAAGGCTTTTCATCTTTTTGTAAATGAAATTCAGAACTTATTCACTGATGCCCTGCATGAATATTAAATAGAACTTCGAAGACCCTGAACTTGTGCCACCTCAAATCTGTTAGGAAGAAAAGAATACGATGAATTTCGGATCCTGATTTTTTTTCTTGTATTTTGTGGCTGTCAGTTATCCATGCTGTTGGCATTACCACTTCACAGGATGCCAACATCAATTGCAGCATGTTTCGCTGTATTGAAACCTGGTGGCCTACTTCTATTCAGAGATTATGGTAATTTCCCAACAAAAAACATAAATTTATATGTATTTATAGGATTTTGGTTAGGACTGTTTGCTCAAAATGAAAATTTTTCTTCAAATTTTTATACTGAATGTGTTGCGTGGAAGACTTTTATCTTGCTGCAGTAATTTTTTTAAAAAAATATTCGCTTTTATTTTTCTTGATTGATTTTGGATGAAAATCCTGAACCCTTACAAGTGAATTTATACCAGTGAATTGTTGCTATCACAAACATTTTAAGGATGGACAAGTGAAACACTAAAATTCTTTTTTAGTTTTATTTACAGTACTATATTTGGAACTTGTTGAAATTATTAGTGTGATGAAAACTCAGGCCTTTATGACATGGCGATGCTTCAATTTGAGCCAGACAAAACGATCTGATGGAACTTGTTCCTACTTTTTTTGTTTGCATAATGTGAGGGATCTCTTTGTGGGTGCAGGCTTCACTGAGGTACTAATCTTGTTTCTATCAGTTTGATGTTAACATAGTCGTGTCAAGATAGGATAATAGATTTTGGGCTTAGTTTGGTGTAGCTTCTAGCAAGCTGAAAGTTGATAATCAAAAAACAAATGCTAAAATTACCTCTCTCCTTGCTTCTTAGAATCAACTTTTTCCTGCATCTTTAGGTTGTGTTTGGAGCATAAATTTGGGTAGGAATTTAGAAAGGAAAAGGAAAAAGTAGGTAAAATGTAAATTAAACTACATTTCACACACTTTCTCATTCCCTTTCAAATTCCTACCCAATTACATGCTCCAAACACAACCTTAAGTTATTTTTGTTTCATAAGTTGTAAGCAAAAGTTCCACCAAACACTCTAGTACATATTTCAAAAATAAATAAACTATAAGCCACTCCATAAGCTACACCAAACAACCCTTTTATGACATTAAACTTGCTGATGAGTGAAGCTCATGCCAACTTACTATCATATGGAGTTTACAACTGTACTTGTTACATATCTTGACTGTGCAGCTTGAGCTTGAATAACTTATATTGATGACCCATCTTATATGATTTTATATCATAACCTATACCATATTAGTCATAATTATCACCATATTAACTCATAACTTAGTTATATTCAATTATTTACTATACCATATTACTTCATAACCAGGTCATTAAAGTGACCTGCTAAACAGGTCATTTTTTATAGTTATGAGCTAAAATCATATTTCTTCATAACTATAATCAAATTGATCATAACTTAGCTATAACTACATCTCATAACCAACACCATTTTGTTCATAACTAATATCACATATTTCATAACCACATCTCATAACCAACACCATTTTAGTCATAACTAACATCACATATTTCATAATCATAATCACATATCTCATAACCAACACCACTTTGATCATAACAAATATCACATATCTCATAACTATTAATCACATATCTCATAACCACATCTCATAACCAATCCCTTTGAGTCATAACCAACATCACATATCTCATAACCACTAGTCACATATCTCATAACCAACACTTTTTATCATAACTAATATCACATATCTCATAACCACTAATCACACATCTCATAACTACTACCCACATACATCATAACCACATCTCATAACTAATCCCTTTGAGTCATAACCAACATCACACATCTCATAACCACTAGTTACATATCTCGTAACCAACACCTTTTTGTCATGACCAATATCACATATTTCATAACCACTAATCACATATCTTATAATTAACACCTTTTTTGCTCATAACCACATCACTTTGATCATAACCAACATCACATATCTCATAACTACTAGTCACATATCTAATAACCAACATCACATATCTCACAACCACTAGTCACATAACCAATATTTCATAACTCATAACCATTAATACATACAGCATAACCACACCCTTTGACACCACTTTGCTCATAACCATTACCCACATATCTCATAACCACTAACACATATAGCATAACCAATACCTTCGACACCACGTTGCTCATAACCATTACCCACATATCTCATAACTACTAACACATATAGCATAACAAATACCCTTTGACACCACTTTGCTCATAACCATTACTCACATATCTCATAACCACTCATAATATTACCCACATATCTCATAACCACTAACACATGTAGCATAACCAAATACCCTTTGACACCACTTTGCTCATAACCATTACCCACATATCTCATAACCACTCATAACCATTACCACATATCTCATAACCACCAACACATATAGTATAACCAAACACCCTTTGACACCACTTTACTCATAACCATTACCCACATATCTCATAACCACTCATAACCATTACCCACATATCTCATAACCACTAACACATATAGCATAACCAAACACCCTTTGACACCACTTTGCTCATAACCATTACCCACATATCTCATAACCACTCATAACCATTATCCACATATCTCATAACCACTAACACATATACCATAACCAAACATCTTTGGCACCACTTTACTCATAACCATTACCCACATATCTCATAACCACTAACACATATAGCATAACCAAAACCTTTTGACACCACTTTGCTCATAACTATTACCCACATATCTCATAACCACTCATAACCATTACCTACATATCTCATAACCAACTAACACATATAGCATAACCAAACACCTTTTGACACCACTTTGCTCATAACTATTACCCACATATCTCATAACCACTAACACGTATAGCATAACCAAATACCTTTGACACCACTTTGCTCGTAACCATTAGCCACATATCTCATAACCACTAACACATATAGCATAACCAACACCATTTGACACCACTTTGCTCATAACCATTACCCACATATCTCATATCCATTACCCACATATCTCATAACCACTAACAACAATAGCATAACCAAACACCCTTTGACACCACTTTACTCATAACCATTACCCACATATCTCATAACCAACATCACATATATCATAACTACTAATCACATATCTCATAACCAAACACCCTTTGACTTATAACTATACCACTCTGCTCATAACCAAAATCACATATCTCGTAATCACTAATCATATATCTCATTACCTTTACCCACATATATTATAACCACATCTCATAACTAGCACCCTTTGTTTCATAATCAATATCACATATATCATAACTACTAATCATATATCTCAGAACCACTACCCACATATAGGGGTATAAATTTAGCCCATGAGCTCGCGGCACACCCCAAGTCCGCTCGTGCCCTGGGTAGGCCTAACTAGGCTTGAGTCTAAACCCAACCTAAGACCCTGAGCTATGTGTTTCTAGAGCCCGACCCGACCCTAGTGTGTTATGGAGTGTGACCCCACCGTGAGATCGCCCCGAAATTTTCTTTCCCATCTAGCTCGACCTGACCCCAATGGCTCTTGCCCCCCATTGTCAGTGCAATGGTCAAAAATTTAAATCAAAACAATTTGAAAGAGTCATATAACCGTTAATTCCACCAACAATCAATTTTATTATTTTTTTATTTTTATATATATAAATTAACTCCTCCCTCCAAGTCCTATAAATACCACCCCTCTCACATTTATTTCTCACAACAAATTTGTCTCTCAAACTCTCATTCTCTCTAAACTTTCATACATATACAAATCTTTGGCCGTAGTTATGATTTTATCAATTTGTACATATCTTATAGAACTGTTGAAAATGAATATTACGATTTTGTTGTACTGTTTTGCTATCTCAGCTCTCTCATCTATCAAACATCTCTCTCATTCCTTACTGTCACTGTAGATATCTCCGATGTTCCTTATCGGAAACAACACCATCTTTGACATTATTTTCACAGACGACAAGTCCGTTCAGTCTCTCTTACTCATATTCCCTTTCCTTTCGCTCTATTGGTTAATTTTCTCTAACTCTCATTTTTTGTTCCATGGCTATAAGTCGTGGATTAAATTATTTGATTATTGTCATTACATTCTGTGTTTATCTGTATCATTAGAGATCCCGATTGGTGATTAAATTATTTAAAAAATTTAGATGTTTTTGTTACACCATTAGTGGATAGTTACATAATTTTTGGTTAATGTTATGAAATTTTGGAAATTAGTTACGACATTTGTGATTTTCTAGAATTTTAAACAATTTCGTTACACCAATTTAGTGATGCAGTTATGTATTTTCTATTTTATATCACAAAACTTTGTAACTTGATTACAATATTATGGTCTGTTTGGTAACTATTCCGTTTTTAGTTTTCAGTTTATATTTATAAAAATTTTAAAAGCTGTAAAAGGCCTGTCACCTTTCTTTATCCTTTTCATTGCTGTAAAAGGCCAAGACCCTAGATTGAGAAGGGTGTACCAACTAAACTCTTCAAGATGAAAAAATAAAATTCTCGAATCATAGAACATCGATGATAAAAGTAAACAAGAGGTCGACAATAACAAGACTCACCACGTGGCATGCTCAGGGGGTTTGTTGGGTGCCACAACATTGTAAGTACACTAAGGCTTGTTGTACTTTTTGCATTGAACTGAAACAACCCATTTAAAATGAATGACCCAATGTGGCACAACTAGGTCTGATTAAGAACTATCAACGATGGTCGTTCGATGATTCAGCGAAATAGAGAAGTCTGATTAAGAATAGAGAGAGCTCAGGCACAACTAGGACAAATCAAGAGAAAGAAAATTGAGTGGAGAAAAATGAAGAAAAGTTGGGAAAAAATTTATGAGAAAAATTATTTAGTGCAACAAAATAAAATCACGTCATAGATAATTTTTTATCAGCATATTTTTTATTAAAATTTAGTTAATTATATATATATATATATATGTCTATAAGTGTATTATAGATATTTTAAAAAGTATATCGTTGGTATATTATTATTTCTATTATCTTTAATGAAGATACCATGACTAAAAATAAATCTAAAATAGAGATAGGTGATCAATTGCAATTGTCACTTAGGGATGACACTTCAAAATTAATGAGAGAGTTGAGAGTTTAGAGAGAATGAGAGATTGAGAGACAGATTTTGGTTTTGTGAGAAA